ATTCATAATCCATACAAAAAAAAATCAATGATGAACTACTCTTTGCATGCAAAGGAAAATTACCACAGTTTAAAATTGATATAGATTCTAAACCTAAAGCTTAAAGGGGTTAACGGATTCATACTCACTCACAAGGTAAGTTACTTTTGGTTAAGTAGTTGTGCTTAAAATTAAACAAAATGCCTTGATTATTTTTATGCTTTCATATAATTCAACACAAATGCAAGATTTAACATAAATCAAACAAGTTAAAACAAGAGATGTTGGTATCTTGTGAATATAGTAAACAATGGAAAGTTTCCTCACATTTGACTATGATCTAAAGTGATTTAATCATGAACAAGTATTGCAAAAGAATGAATGACATGATAGTTGTACAAAGCATGAGTTTCATACTCATGCTATGTTATAGAAATAATTAAATATGTATCTTGACAATGTACCAACTTCAAACACTATCATTACCACACATTTGCATGTTGAATCATTCAAACTTGAAACAATCACTCCATGCTTCTTCAAGCCAATCAAAGATAAGCTTCATGGACAAACATAAAATAATTCTCTAACAACTTTAAATTAAACAAGTATCTATACAAATGTACAAAGCTTTAAAATATAAATAAATGTACAAAGATTAAAAGATAGAAAATATTGCTATGCTTTTAATATCAAAACACCAATCCCCAACAACGACACCACTTTGTTATTCGAGTAAAGCAGCAAGCAAAAGTAAGTAGTCAGTTTTATCATCTCCACATGGATTGGTGCGACATCAAATGACGTTCCACGATCATTATGATTTTAAGCAGGTTTGTAAGATTTGTTTTAAAGCTACGCTATGTAAAACGAATGAATGAAAAATAAAGCTTTAGAGAAGTGAGAATTTGTCAGGATTGAACTTCATCCAACGATCGAACATGTAATTTTTCAATCACTTATGCACAATCTAAACATTTATCAATATCATCATGTATCGCTCACAACAGGGTTCATGTTTAAACTTCGGCTGAGAGTTCAACTGTATTGTTTAATCGGCAATCTTTCAGCCTATCAAACAACACGGAGCATTAATATTCGATACTTGCGCAAATGTTAATTCTAAATCTATGTCTGGAGAGATAACATCGATATTGATTCGTAAATAGATCAAACATAATGCCATGATTAATAAAAATACATACTTTTACAGTAAACTTACATACAATCCCAACAAGAAAGGGAGTCGAGAGAAGAATAAAGATGAACAAATATCCACTGTGATTTTCCAATGATAGAAGCGAATCTAACTCCGGATTTTTAAGAAGCACCATCACTTGTTGTTTTCTAAGTATCTAAATCTCCTAAATAAAAATGGTTGGCTCCAAAATGTAATAGGATTCAGAGCCCCTTCAAAAATCAGTTTGAGATTCAATTTATTCAAAACTAGATATTTCCTACTCGCCTGATGAGCTAGATCTTTCTCGGCGAAAGTCACTTTATTGCCCATCATTCAGTCAGAATGCATCAAACTGCCCTTTTAAAATATCTTATTTCTCCCAGCGAACAAGGTCTCGCCCGACGAGCTCAAGGTCTCAAACCTTCGATAAGCCCTAGTTTTTCCACTACCTCAACTCTACTTTTCCTCGCCCCAAACTCTCCAAGGATCACCGGGTGAGCTTGCTTCTTGCTCGCCATCTCTCGTCATGCAAACAAATTGATTTTCCCCTTCTTGGCTTTTCTTCTTCTTCTTTGATTTGTGCCTTCATTCTTGACTTCTTGCAACACTGTTATGCATACTAACACACATATCAAGGTTACTAACACTGTCAAGCTTTTCCACCATTTAAATACAAGGTTACTAACAATGTCATATAAAGAGGTGCAACACTGTTATGCAACACTGTTCTTGCATACTAACACTGTTATGCCACCATTTAAATCCAATTTATATGACATTCTAAGAAAACTCGAGGAAATAAATGGTGGAAAACGCAAAAGAGAGTCAATAAATGCCAAGTTTTAATGTGCAAAATTAGTAATGATTGGAACTTATTTGACATCCACCTAATCTCGAGAAACTTAGAGTGTTTGGCTGCTTAGCCTATGCTCACATTAGGCAAGACAAAGTCAAACCTAGAGCCATGTGACAAGAGGTGTATCACAAGTTGAGATGTAGTTTTCAATGAAGCAGAAATGACCTTCAAGAAAAATGATGACATTGTTCGAAGTATGAAGATCTCTATAGAGGATCTAGAATAGGAAGAGATTCCTATTGAGGTGGAGCATAAAGATGCTTAAGTGCATAACCTAAATGAAGTCGAAGAAGATACACAAGTTGCTGATGAAGATGAGGAGACTGATAGTGACTACCTGCTGGAAAGAGATGGGTCGAGAAGAGTCACTAAGCCACCTTAGAGACTTGGTTATGTAGATCTCATAGTTTTTGCCTTAATCTCTTCCAGTGAGGTTCGTAATGAAAAACCTAAAGATTACAAGGAAGTTGTAAGGAGTCGAAATAAGACTGAGTGGCTGAAAGCCATGGATGATGAGATGAAATATCTTCATGATAATAACATTTGGGAGCTGATCGAGAAACCTGTAGGGGCCAGGTTAGTCAGTTATCAGTGGATTCTCAAGGTTAAGGAAGGAATCAGCGGAGTGATGTCGAAACAATTAAAGGCAAGGTTGGTTGCTGGAGGGTTCACTCAAAAAGAAGGTGTCAACTTCAATGATGTGTTATCACCTGTTGTAAAGCATATATCCATTAGAATGTTGTTATCCATGATGACAAAGTTTGACTTAGAACTTGAACAAATGGATGTGAAGACAACTATCTTGTATGGTAATCTAGATGAAAAAATCTTGACAAGGAAACTTGAAAGGTATGCAGAAAAAGGAAAGGAAGATTGAGTGTGAAATATGAATAGGTTGTTATATGGCCTAAAACAATCTCCTCGACAATAGAATATGAGATTCGACAAGTTCATGACACACATAGGTTTCACTAAAAGTCAGTTCGACCATTATGTTTACTTCAGATTTTGACCTGGAAATTCACTTGTTATTTTGTTGCTTTATATGGATGACATCCTCAAAGTAAGCAACATTGTCGAAGATATTATGAAGGTGAAGACTGAACTCGATATGGAGTTTGACATGGAGGATCATGGAGTTGCCTTCAGAATTCTTGGGATTGACATCTGGAGAGATAGAAAGCATTCGAGATTATGCTTATCTCAAGAGACATACCTACTGAAGATTCTCGAAAAGTTTGGTATCTCGAATTCAAAGCTTGTTCTAACACCGACTAATCCTCAGTACAAGCTGAGTATAACTCAAAATCTTACTACTGAAGTCAAAATAGCCTATATGAATAACATCCTATGTGTTAGTATAATAGGTTCTTTGATGTATGATATGGTCTATACGAGGTCAAACATAGTGTACGGAGTGAGCCTTGTAAGCAGGTATATGGGCAATCCTGGGAAGACGCACTGACAATCATTAAAGTGGATTGTGAGGTACATAAATGGGTCTTTGAGCAGAGCCCTGATTTATGGCGGAGCTTGTGGTAATGATAGCAAAGTCGAAATTAAAGGATTTATCGACTCTGATTATGCAGATTGTATGGATGCCAGAAAATCTATTTCTGAATATGTGTTAACTATGTTTGGCACAACGATCAGTTGGAAAGCAATATTTCAGAAGGTTGTTGCTTTATCAACCACTGAAGCGGATTATATTACCCTCAATGAAGCTGTGAAATAAGCATTGTGGCTTGGAGGTTTTCCTAAGGAGCTAAAACTTCAAAATCTAGTTATCACTGTTAAATGTGATAATCAAAGTGCAATACACTCGTCAAAGAATTCATCCTATAATGAGCAAACCAAGCACATCGATGTGAGGCTACATTTCGTCAAAGAAATAATCGAGCGTGGAGAAATTCAAGTGCTGAAGATTTTGACTGATGACATTGTTGCTGATAAGAGCACCAAGACATTGTCAAGTAACAACTTTTTCCACTTTATATAGTTGATAAAGTTGCATGATGGTAGCTAGTTGGTTTTGTCGTTCAGATTTTGTTCAAAGATAGAGATTTGTAGTTTGTGGATTTAAGTTAATTTTGTAACAAACTCTGATAAAGTCGAAAAACTTTAATTTTTTTGTTTTGTAAATATAGTCCTCAACACAAATTTTATAATCTATTTTTATTTTATTCCTATTATGATTATGAATAATTTGTAAACAACAAGTTAGACATACAGATCTAAGTTCTCTTATCATTGATGGAGTTAACTTCCTTTTATCAATATATGAGCATTTATATATAAAAAGTCACACACCTAATGTTATGATTTTTTGAACCATTGTGTTGATTAGAGAATTTTAGTGGGCACCAAGACAACTCTAATGACAAAAACTTCACCATAAATAATATCTTAAAGGTATATTAGCAAGAGCAATTAATCTTCAATATTGACTACCATAGTGAACTTGGGATCAATGACACAATTTTAAAATTAAAATTAATATATAGATGTGCACGTACGGTTGTTGGCACATAAAATAAAAAATAAATATCAAGTTCCAAAGAAATGTTGTTTTGTTTGTCTTGTGGTGGAATTGAATATATTCAAATTGGACAAATTTGCTAAGTCACTTTCACTACAAATACAAACGAAAGAACAGTGAGACTCTATGTTTGCATTACTAGTTACTTTTTAAAAAAATATTGTTTGATTTGATGTATCTTATCCTCTGAATTAATAATGGTTCCTCTCCCATTTTGAGCCAAACAAATTTATCCATGTAGATACCATAAATCTTGAACTTTCAATTTCTTTCTTGTTTGTACCACCAAATTCCAAGTTTTTGTAAATTTCATTTCACAATATTTGCCTTTTGGCTTTTTATATATGCTTGGTGCAAAATAGGCCATGCAAGAAGGAAGGATTAAAAAGTTGAAATACCTAAATAGGCCATGCAAGAAGGAAGGATTAAAAAGTTGAAATACCTATTTAGCCCACTTGGACACTATTTTTGTTAGAATCGTTTACATCAAACAAACCATTAATAGGTGTACAAAGTCTCACTGATGAGAGTGCTTTGTTGAAATGTTTTGCTTTTGTGCCAAGGTATTCATTCCAAGTCACTGACCTATATAGAGGGGGTTGTGTTGGGCCTACTAATTTTGCATGTGGACATATCTCTACATTCGAAGGGGGCCCATATAAATAGGCGACTGAAAATCTCTGACGGGTTCGGTTCACTAAAACGCGATGGAGTACGCTAGGGTATATTCCGTTTGACAAAATATGAAAGAGGTCGCCCACGTTGACGACCAGGCCTCCTTGGAGCGGAGGAACTGTGACCCACCCAGAACCCTCGCGTTGAACCTGCAACCCGCTTATGTCGTTTTGAGAAAGGATGGTTAAAAATGTTGAGTCCGTGTGCGGGGCGAGACCCATTGCGTGATCCGGATCCGGGCAACTAGGGTAGGAGTTTAATTGGAGGGCCGCACAAGCTTTTTCAAATTGGGCTTTTGACCCGGCCCATTTGATATCTTCCTTTGTAATACCAAGAGAGTCCAACATTAGACACATCAATTTTGCTGCTAACTTTTTCATGGTTTCATCATATTGCACGACAATATCACTGAAAAGACAAAACCAAAAAAATCACATATAATTAGGAGATTGTTAGGAAAAATCAAAACATAGTTGACTAAATAATTAAGAGATTTCAAACATAAACTAGTGGATTTGGTGCAATGGATTCTCATGATTAGTTTACCCTTTCATTCTTCAAAGGGGTGTGGGTCCATAAATAGATATATACATTTACACACACATAGCTTTCATTATGATCTTTGCCAAGTGCACCATAGGATAAGAAAATGAGCTTATATAGTTTGGCCATAAATATCGTCACCACAAAAATTTCCAAAAATAAAATAGAATAAATTTGTGAAAAAATAAGGATAAGATTTTATAGAGAAGAGATAGTTAGTTAGTTTAGTTTTTTTTTTATTAGCGTTGAATTTGAATCGATGATATAGGTTCATTGCGAGACTCTTAACAATACAACGTACCAGTATTTGACATAATCTTGAGGCCAAAGTTGTCGAAAATGGTCAAGAGGGGATCCGACGATAGTAAACCCCTCGTACCACATGAGTTTGGGGAAGAAGGAAGAGATACGAGCGAGGCCATATCCCGAAACACCGTCCGGGGAACGAGTGGCTTTGAGTTTTTGGTGAGAAGGAAGAGAGAAAAGTGTTTGTCCAAGGCATTGAATATCTTGAAGAAGGCTTAAGGGGATGCCATGGTTGATTACTTGATAGACCCCCCATGTTTTGCATGCAAGTCCTATTAGGTTTGAAGCATTAGGGTCATTGAGATCAATAACGGGGACAGTAGTAGTAGTTTCCTTGATAAGGGAGTGATCATCAAGGTGAGTCCAATTGTAAGATTCAGGTAGCTCTTGAAGTGAGTTGAAATCAGGGTGCTTGTGGTTAACGTGCACAGGGTGTGCTCTATAGGCTTCGGAGAGTGAAGGCATAGTGTATAGAAACTTAGAAAAAGTAATGAAGATGAAGTGAGAAAAATGATTGTGTGAGAACTTGGTATATATAGAGGTGTGGACTAGATGGCGACAATGTTGCGCTTACCCTTAACCAAAAGATGGAGAAATTAAGTTTCTTGTTTTTTTCTAAATTTATTTTCCTCCTCAGGTGTTGATTTTGTTGTTGGAAAGAAATTATTCTTGTTTAATTATTATATGTATAATTAAATAAATATTTCTTTTAATTTAGCATAAACGATCTTGGTGGGTAATATTTAGGTGTGTAGATTTAGAAACAAAAAATATTATCTTGAAGAATTTGTTGCAACACTTCATATATTAGACTAGTAAACACCACATAAACAAATAAATAAATAATTATACATAAATAATACGCAATAGAGTTTTTTAATTATGGAGCATTGCACATTATTCAATGTGAGGTTTTTTTTTAAGTAACATTTTTGTGAGAGATACACTATATATTCATCAAAAATTTTAAGGTGATAGATGAGTGAGTTCTCTATAAAATGCAAAAGATCCACAATTTTTGGTGCTAAAAAATCAAAAGTGTCAAAAACAAAAGGTATGAAAGCATGTTGGTTGTTGGAACACGCTTTCTCATACTTTTGACCATTTTACTTAAAGCAGCTTTGAGAGCTATCTGTGCCACATTAAAACCTCCAATCTTTAGTCTCGCTAGTGGAAAAATTCTAATCAAATCTGCACATGCATGTTTTCCTCCTATCCACCTGTACATTAGAACATGTGTTGGTCTAAGTATTAATCTTTTCTCTTGGGGTCAGTTAAGAAATTCATAGGCACCTCTTTCTTCACAGATACCCTGACACACCGAAATATATCAAATATGACATTCCTAACAAAATCATATCTTCAACTATCATTTACAATTTTTTTTATCAAATCAAATAAATATTTTTTCCATATAATTAAATTAACACACTCTAAAACCAAAAAGAAATTTGATAATATCTATACAAGATCGAAAATCTCTAATTTATATGTGTATTTATAACTTCAAAGTTTTGTTTTAATTTTATTTGGAGCGAGTTTTAAAATTTTAGATTTATTATGCTTAATTGTTATGAAATAAATAGGTTTTTTTTTAATAATGGTTTAACTATAGAAAATATATTATGAGACTATTGCACACTTTCAAAAATGCTCCTAATATTAATCGGATCCCACATTGCTAATGATAGGATTGGCCTTTTAGGTTAATTTGATTCTTGTGTATGATATTTAGTTTTTATAAGAAAAAGGTAAAATAAATAAATCACTTTCTAAAGTAATTTAGTGATAAAAAAAAAAGATAAGTTAAATCTCATAAAAAACTGTTTTAGTCGAATTCAAATTAGTTGGAAGTTATGATTTTATTTTCAAAAATAATAATAATATTAATTAACAATAATTTTTTATTAAAAAATTATTGTTAATTGATAAATATATAACTAATTTTTTATTTATAATAGTATTAAATTGTTTTGCACTACGTATTGAAAAAATTACAGAAATAATATAACATGGCTATGATTAAATGTCAAAATATCAAAATTAATATTGAATTTATTAGTATAAGATAAAAACATTAAAATGGTATAAAATTTGAGTACACACAATGTAGAAACAAAAATAAAAATAAAAAATGACGTTTTATAATTGTCCAATGCAAAGAACAAAAATAGAAAGACGAATTTGTCCTGTAGGTATAAAATATAAGTTAAAATATGGAAAAGTGAAGCATCTCCACCTCTCAATTTACAAGAGCAAGAGATGCCACAAAAGTGTAGGGACCCCTACCTCAACATGTGCCTATGTCTTGTCTTCAAGTAGAAATACATTTAAATCAAACTCATTCAACTTGCTTCTCATTTTTATCTCATTGCTAAAGGACAATTCTTACAACACCCCCATATTAGGGTTTCTGCCAGGGTGACCAAATTACCCATCTACAACACAAACACATATGGATTATTCTATTAATATTGCTTTGAATTCTTTAGAGTGACTTGTTTTTAATTAAGTGAAGTTATTAACCATTTAAATTTAATAATTTAGTTAATTATTTTATTATATATAACTAGAGGTGACAATAGGATCCATTAAGACAAAATCCATCCAATCCATCCATCAAAAAATTCATCCAATCCATCCATCCTATAAAAAATAAGTTAATGGATTGGATTAAATTCATTCATTTATATGCATGGATGAATTCAATCCATCCAACATATTTTGAGAATCCAATGGATTATTTTTATTTTTGTTATATTATTTTTTTAAAAATAATTAAAAATAGATTTTTTAAAATTTAAATAAAAATAAATTTTTTAAAAGAAAAAAATAACTTTTTTTCAATAAAGAAACTGTAATTTTTTTTTAATAAAAAATCAATTTTTTTTTAAAAAAATCAATTTTTTTTTTGAAAAAAAGTCTATTTTTTTTGTTTGAAAAAAAATCTGTTTTTCTTTTTTTGAAAAAAATATGTTTTTTTTTTGTGAAAAAAATCGTTTTTTTTTTCAAAATAAAAAACTGATTTGTTTTTCGAAAAAAAATCGATTTTTAAAAAAAAAAAAAGGTTTTTTAAGAAAGAAATGATTTTTTTTCGAAAAAAAAAACAAATTTCTTTTTTAATAAAAAAAGAAATTTTTTCGAAAAAAACCGACTTTTTTAAAATACAAAAAACCGACTTCATAATTTTTTATAAAATTTAAAATATAATTCAGGGTTCACCTTTTCTATTTTCAATGGTGAGATATAAGTTACCACAATCGGACTATAGATTAAAATTTTTCAATGGTGAGATATAAATTACCACAATCGGACTATAGATGAGATATAAGTTACCACAATCGGACTATAGATGAGATATAAGTTACCACAATCGGACTATAGATTAAAAGTTTTTAATGGTGAGATATAAGTTCTCACAATCAGACTATAGATTAAAAGTTTTGAAAAATTAAAATTTTAGCTTCGTAAATATTATATATAAATGACATATTAATCATTAGAAATGATATCCCTATCTAAGGGGAGCGAAAAAGTGGTTGAATAAATGCTTTTATATTAGTTTCACTTGCTAAATAAATGCTTGTATATTAATGAATTTATTTTCGAAAATGAATATATATATATATATATATATATATATATATATATATATATATATATATATATATATATATATATATATATATATATATATATATATATATATATATATATATATATATATATATATATATATATATATATATATATATATATATATATATATATATATATATATATATATATATATATATATATATATATATATATATATATATATATATATATATATATATATATATATATATATATATGAGAAAAAACAATAAATTTATCCAACGATATTTATTTATTCAAAGTGAAATACAACTAAATGACACAGAAGGTTCCACTTACAGGTAGGAACTTTCACAACATCATTAACGAAAAAAAAAGATATGAGCCATCAATGAACTCAAAAAGAAAATAAACATGAAACTTCACAAGCTTCTTTTATGAAATTTCATGTAAATTAATATAGATTAAAAGAAATTTAAAAAATAATTGAGAATATTAATTATTTTATGAAATTTAAAAAATAATTTAGAATATAATTTTTTTGTAAAATTTAATTTTTATTTTATGAAATTTAAAAAATAATTAAGAATATTAATTTTTTTTTGTAAAATTTAATTTTTTTTATGAAATTTAAAAAATAATTCAAAATATTTAAATTATGTTTCTATGAAATTTAAAAAATAATTAAAAATTTTTAAATTAATTTTTTGGATGGATGGATATCCATCCATTAGAAATATGTTAATGGATGGATTGAATGGATTTTATCTCTTAATGGATGGATTGGATTGGATTTTTATTAAGAGAGTTAGTGGATTGTTAATGGATTAATGGATTGTTTTGATCCATCCATTAACAATCCAATCCATATCCATCCAATCCATCCATTTTGCCACCCCTATATATAACCAACACAATATGACATATATTAGGAAATTGAACCGTTGAACCATATTTGATGTCAGAGGGCAAAGAATAACATCAATCAAAATAAATGATTTTTAACAAAAATAACTATGTATGTAATAAAATATCTATTTAAGTTGGCGGAAAAAGATAAAGTAAATATAATAAACACAATAATTTGTTTATCCAGTTCGACCAAACCATCTATTATAAAGAAGAGAGCAGAAGTAGCTCTCTGGTTTACTATTTTTAAAAATTATTACAAAATATTACAAATAAGTTACAAGAAAATAACCAATGAAATTCTTAAGAAAAGACTATATATTCATATATATGAGTTACACAAGTTCAAAGTGTTTATAAATATTTCTCAATTTCTCTTAGATATTTTCAAATTCTAAAAACAAACTTTTAGGAATTTACTCTTCTTCAAAGTTTCTCGAATTTCAAGAATACACTCTTACGAATTTACTCTTGTTTATCTAAGATTATCTCTAGGATTCTCAAACTCTCTATATGTCTTTAGCTCTAAAGTTCTGAACGGTGTGATAATAAGAATGACAAATATACATATTTATGAGATTTTGTCATGTCATCCTACATGTTATACATGACACCCTTTATTGCAGTGGTTTTACTATATTACCCTTCCTTATTAAAAAATATTTCACATTTTCATTGTAACATTTTGATTTTTTCAAAAGTTGTGCGATTTATCGAAGATTTTGAGCTAACTACTGAATTTTTAAAAGTTGTATTTTTTTACCGACAATTACATTTTAAAACCAAAATCTTCACAATTAATATGCATTTTTATCAAAATTTTTGAAATGTCCGATAAAAACACGTTTTTCATGCATTTTTACTGGATATTTTTAAAATTTTGGTTTAACCACATTCACTTTTATCAATATTTTTGAAAAATCTGGTAAGAATATATACAAGTGTGTGTGTGTGTG